AATACATCGTTTTATTTCTTTCTACCCTTCGCTTCAAACTAAACCCATAAAAGTTTTATTGTTTGCTTTGAATAAATCAGCAGCTGTCATGAAATCCCTGTTTTTTTTTTTTTCTTTTATAGATGCTGCTGTTTCTTCAAAAGGAGGAAGAGGAAAGCTCTCCAGAGACACAAGTGAAGAGACCAGAGAAAAACCTTTGCGCTCTTCTTTATTTTTTTCTCTTTATTTCTCTGAAGCCATTTTCCTTGAACTCTTTCTCCTTTTCTTTATCTGCTAGTTTCTGCGCCGGTTTGTATATTTAAACCGTGAAATTGTTATTTTTTTGTTTTGTTTTTCATTTCACCGCAGAATTTCAAATGTGCCGCCTGCTCCAGCGGTGCTCTCGGTATTTATGGCTGCAGATACAACAGTGGAGTAGTTAACAGACTGGATTCAGCTATTTACCAGAAGACTGACTGATTATTTTTTTGTGCTCTTCCTTACTGACTGGATCAGAAGACGAAGTGTATTTCAGGAGATGCAAGCGAAGCAGACTTCCTACAGCATGGAAGCGGAGCCTGTCGGACCATGCGTGCAAACGACATGCACAAAGAATTCACGCTGCACATTTTGTTGAGCTCACAAAGAGACTCGATGGACAGAGATGCAGTTCTTGCACATAGTTTTTATTCCCTGGTGTCAAAGGAGTTGCTCGGTACCGGACCCGGGCCCAGATCGTATAATGGACCGGGATTGGTGTATTTCTCATTAACCATCTGAGAGAAACACTCCCAACCACCAGAAAACTCAAAACTTAAAGATGTTTATGTAAAATTTATGCTTTACTCTGAATTTGAGTTGTAACTAAAATAAGACTGTTCTCTTTTCAGTTTTTTTTGTTTTTTTTCTCTCTTCTGAGTTGTTAAAGTTTGTTTTGTAGCTTCTTAGTGTGATCCTCAGAATGTATTTTTTTTAAATAACCTTTGAAATTTTTTGTTTCGGTTTTCCCTCTTTCTTTTTAGGTTGAAGGGTGGAAAGTTGGATAATGCCATTAAAAACAATGAAACAAAACACAAAGTTATCTTTTATTGAAGTGACATGTCAGTAGCTGAAATAACTGCCCACTCAGAACGGTAATTATGCAAAAATAAAAAAAAGATATAGAGATATTTTATCCCTGAATATATACTCTTCTATCCATAACTCATCAGCC